GAGGGGCAAGATTTAATAATGCATATTGTTCGTAGATTTTACGCATGTAAGCAAAGATTTGACGTACTATATATTGGTTTTGTTTTTTGAAGCTAGATGGCCGACCCGAGAAACATGGATGAGGAGGAGTTGATGATGAATTTGATCAACACTGGCACTCAAGTTGCCGGCGATGATGGTGCTAAAAATAACGTGCAAGAGGATGCAGATGACGGGAGTCAGTACTTAGCTCTTGAACAAAATGAGCAACAACAGATTGGCCAAGTATATATTTTTTATTATTAGCTATATATATTATCATATGTCTTATGTGTGCTCATGACATTAAAAATAATGTTTATGTTTTGTAGCCCTCTGGATCGACATCAACAACTACAACGAAGAGTAAAAATGTTCGAGGTCCCAAAAAGCCATTGGAGGGCCGCTTCATCATCTCGGAGTTCAATGTGGATACAGGAGAACCGGGGGGGCCGAATAAAATGAAATTTGTGCACCACTGTGGTTACCTTGTACGGGACCGGCTCCCGATTAGTACCCGTGAATGGAAGAAGAAGACCAATGCTCCTCATATCAGTTTTGTCTCCGATCGTGACAAGGCGTTAATTTGGAATGATGTCTTGGTACATTTCACGCTCCAAACAGATGGTTATGATGATATAATAGATGGTGATGAATTGAAGGAGCGAGTTAGGGATTGGGCAATGAAGAAGATGGCCACCCAGTTTCAGACTTGGAAGAAACACCTATACACGACGTATGTCAAGAAGAACATAGCACCAGATTTTACCGCCCCCAGCCCGATCTCAAAGCAGAGGCCCTATTGGGATGAGTTTGTACAAGTACAAGACTTCGTAAGAGGGTGTGAGTTGGGTGATAAAGAACCAACGTAATGCCCAATGTAAGACATACCACCATACCATGGGATCGGTGGCTACCCGACCGCCATTAAGAAGTGGAACAAAATGGAAGCGCACCTTCTTGCCAAGGGTATCGCACTGTAATCACTCGAGTGGGGGAGAACGTGCAAAGAATTGGTTTTTCGGTCATGGGGAACACTAGACCAGGAGACAGGGAAGTGCGTTTATGGCGCAAGACCGCAAGAAGCAAAGCGAGAAAGATTGTTTTATGCTCAGAGAGCTGCTTTGCTAGTGGTGCGCTCAGTGCCCAACAGAGAGAAGGATGAGGTGACATACGCCATCGGGACAATTGAACATGGTGGCGAACTAGAGGCAAAGGAAGTGTCTCGTGGGAGCATGGATTCCCTTAGGATGACCTTCCCTGAAGTCGCCAGAGAAAGAAGGAAGAAGAGGCACAATGGCTCCAGAGGTTGGAGGAAGCGGTGCGTGAAGCACTGAGCGAGAAAAACCTTGAAGCGAGAATGCAGGAGGAAATCGGAAGGCAAGTGCAAATAGCGGTGAGTGCAAGCAAGCGGGCATCGAGCCGAGGAATCAACATTAGCCAATCATTGGGTTGAAAAGCAACAAGCGCTTCCACGGAGATACCAAATCAAGGGGACACAGGATGCGCTTCCTCGTGGATGACGCCATCTGAACCTTGTACAACGTGTGAGCTACACATTCTGAAGGAGAATTCCACAATCAAGGTGGCTATTGGTCTTGTTAATCCTATCGACCGAACCAAGACACCAAGGATTCATGGGAATATAATCCAAGAAGGATATGCTACCATCTCGGTAAATAAAGCTGAAAAAGGTTTTAGTGATTTGCCTATTGACATTCCTAGAGGTGATGGCGAGAAGACTCTAGGAGAAGCGGAGAAGACATTCATTCTATGGCGCAAGCGCTACATCATCATTCCAGGGATGTCGGCTCCACCTCCTCCTGAACTACCTCACCATAGGTACATGCGGATGAAAACACTACATCATTAATTTGTATTGGCTTAAATAATTAACAATCTGCTCATAATAATATGTCATTCCTTTTTTTGTAGCAGATCCTCCCCCAACCTAAATCCAATTGTTCAATCGCCAGATCATCATAGTGCTCTGTACGATGACATTGTGTTGGAAGACGAGGTTGCATCCACACCATCTCCAAGGAGGTCTCCAACGCCGCAGCCGCCACCTCCAAGGAGGTCTCCAACGCCGCTGTCAACACCTCCAAGGAGGTCTCCAACACCTCCCCCGCCCCTGCCTACCAAGAAGCCTAGCAAGAGGCTAGCCCCTCAAACGAAGAACCAGTCCCCGCCTGCAAAGAAAGCCACCGTGAAACCAAGGGCTATTCCCAAAATAATATCTGAAGAGAAGGAAGAAAGAACTGATGCATATAAAAAAGACATGTCTAGATTCTATGACAAACTTAAAATGAATCAAGAAGCAAGGAGAAACCCAGAGAAACCGTGACTTCTTCAGTAGCTCCAGATATTCTAAGAAAAAGGTGACTTCTTACCAAAGAACAACAATGGGAATCTCTAGTAAGCCATCCAAATCAACGTTATCAGACTATGACCGCACTCTCACCAAGTCAATTGAGGCGCATGTAAAAAGAAGCGGGCAGGGAAAGGAGTTGCCCAACTCGGACAACAAGCGCACTCAATCAATCCCCCGCTAGTTGTTGGTAATGAATATGGTTCGAATTTTGGATTAATGCATCAGCAAACATACCTCCGGATGTCGATTTGGATCATCTTGGTGAATTTCTTGATGAGACCGGGTCTCGACCTTTACCAGATGTTTGGTGATGGAAACATTGAGAGTGCGGCGGAGGTTGATATTTGGAAGAAAAAATTTGTACTAGGCCGAGTCTATACAACCCTCAAGCCTTATCTCGATCTAGGGACATAAATGTACCGCTAAACAGTGGTACATGCAAAGGCTCTACCAAAGGAGAGACTTCTGCGTTGGTGTCGTAATTAGAGACGAACATTGGTTCCGTGGCGATGATGTTATGTATGTTGACTTTGCGTAATTTCATCAACTATGCCACCGACCTCTCTAGACAAAGTTATCATTAGTCGCTATTGCCGTAAGTAATAATTCTTTTCGATCTATTATTAAACTCATCATATGTGTGTATATGTATAAAAATTATCCTAACAAGTACTATATATATGCAGATTTACAATGATGAGAGCTCGAAAGGAAGGCTGCAATGAAATTGTTTTTGTTGATCCCCATATAATATTCAAAGACCTAATTACTCCAAAGACTAATTGGAAGTCCGAATGAGAGTAACCTCATGAACTTCTTAGTGAACCAACGCCACAAGAAGGATATACTCTTTCCCTATAACTTCAAGTGAGTGTTAATCATGTCGATCATATCCTTAATGGCTCATATGTTGATTCTAGTTAATTAATGAGTGTTATGCGTTATATCCTATAAACACATGCAAAGCAATCTTTGGATATTGATGGACATCGATCCGGTGAAAAGTCACTTGATAATCTATGACTCGATGAGAAAACCACAACAAGACTACCAAGATATGATAGATATTATCCAGAGGTAATTTCGGGATCTCTAGCAACTATATATACACACAAACATGATGATTAACTATATCCGATGACGTGGCAAATTTTTATTAGGCGGTGTTTGGAAAACCTTTATTGAGAAGCAACACATGGAAAAATGCAAAGCGCCATTGAATGTAATTCCTTTGAAAGTAAGTCCCCGAATCGCATCATCTTTATTAATTAAACATATAGCTTTCACCGGATCACCAGATTGGATGACAAATCTTTTTCTCGTAAAGTGGTGTCTCGAGGCGAGAACAGGGAACAACTACTGTGGTTACTATGTTTGCAAGTTTATCAAGGTGGTCTCCCAAAGAACTCCTACAGAGAGACTCAAAGTACGTTAAAAATACACTATATATTCATTTAATTATTATTATTGATTGTGTTACTATATGTCTTTATATATATATATGTACATATATTAATTTATTTTCCTTTAATTCAAACCTGTAGACTCGATGGTTGGAGGAAAAGGTCATACGGCAAGACCAAATCAAAGCAATTCAAGAGTCTATAGCGGATTTTTTAATGAGCAGGTCATCGATTCCAAGGACGAGTTCTACTTGACCCAACAACGCCATTGAAGCCAAGCTAGAGGATGAGAGGAAACTTGTTATGTCACAACAATCTGTAATGTAATCTTTTGTAATATATGCACATGAAATAATATAATGTAAAATACACATATGCATGCATACATGTAAATATATATATGATGCATGCATATATATATATATATATATATATATATATATATATATATATATATATATATATATATATATATATATATATATATATTTCTATGCTTGAATTGTGTGATTTAATACGTTCATTGTGCTTGAACCGAAAACATACTATATGCAGCGTATAAATGTATAATTAGCAGCGAGAATACGACTTCGAAAACCTATTTTGAAAAGAAAACAAAAAAATGAAAAGAAAAGAAAAAAGAAAAAAACCTTTAGTCCCGGTTCGTATTACCAACCGGGACTAAAGGTGCCGGCCATCGTGGCATGTCAGGAGGCACCTTTAGTCCCGGTTGGTGTTACCCACCGGGACTAAAGGTCCTCCTTTAGTCCCGGTTCTTGACCCAGGACTAAAGGACCCCCCTTAGTCCCGGATGCTTGCTTCCGGGTGGGGAACCAGGACTAGAGGGGGTTCCCCACCGGGAGTAAAGCTCGGTTCTCTACCAGCACTCTGAGCTGTAGGTGCACCTTCATTGTGGCGACTGGCGAGAGCGGCGAGCTCTAACAGCAAAACAAAAACTTCCTGATGAAACGAGGCATACGCGTGCGTTCCTACTATTTACCTGTGACTGGGTGCCAAATAAAGTTAGCGTTTTGCGTGGCCTATCATCGCGTAAGGAATGGCGCGGCGTAAGGAATCGTCGCGTACCCGGCCGTACGTCTATATATACACGTGTCGTAGAGGCATCTGAATATCTACGATGACGTACGTCCACACGACTGTCTCACACTGAGCTCATCACCAAGTAGAGCTGCTGGGCCCGCAAGATGATCGTTGCTGAACCTCCTCCTCCCGTTGGAAATGCTTCTCCCACCGGGTGCGGTGGATCTTCTCCTCCCGCCGGGAAGAAGTCGCAGTGGCCGGAGGTGCTGGGCTGGATGGCGACGCCGGCAGCGCAGAAGATCGCCCACGAGAGGCCCGACGTGGCCGTGGAGGTGCTCCCGCAGGGGACGCGGATCGAACCTGACGGCTTCAACACCGCGCGCGTCCGCGTCCACATCGACAACAGCGGCTATGTCTCCCAGATCCCCGAGATCGGCTAGCTGCTACGGCTGGCTAGCCAGGCAACAGGCCCAGCTGGTGCTCTAATTTGTTTGGTGTCGTCATGTGTCCTCGTCGTCGTCGTCTGCTCATCAGTCATCACCGCGTGCACAATGCACTGGTGGTGCCGCGGTCGAGCTGTACGCGTGTGTGGCGTGTAATAATGGAATAAATACCTGCTGCGTCTTCTAGCTGTTGCCCTGTACGTGTGTGTGGCGTGTAATAATTTAATAATGGAATAAACTGTTGGCAATATAAGTTGAAGCTCCAAAGTTTAAGCAGCCTAGATTTTTTTTATCCTTTTGTTTGGAAAAAGAAATTGATGATGATGGGTCATGCAAGGATTTTTTCGATAAGGAAAGCTTTATTAATTCCAAGATTGTTACATCGAGATGATACAAAGACCTTAAAACACTTCCGGCCTCTATATAACAAGGATACACACAGCCTTATAAAAGATCTTAAAACAAAAAGATACACTAATAACACTCAATCCGAAGACTAGACTGCCACCCATGTGTCCGGGTAAAAAACTCCTTGGCCACCCGCGCCAATTGTTGAGATGCCGCTACAACCAAATCTTCAACCAAATCTTGTGAAGTTGGCTTCCGTAGGATAGTCCATTTACGAAGCCAATGTATAATCGAGTAGATAACCTGTAAAGGAGAAGAAGTACGTTTCTTTTCAAAAACCAGGTCATTCCTACATAACCAAAGAGACCAGCATGTAGCTGCTGCTCCTAGCAAGGCTAACGATTTCAGTTCTTTACTTAAACCGCAGAGCCAAGAACCAAACATGCTTGATACACTATGCGGTTGAGACAAGCCTGAAGCCGCCTGGATAACAGACCAGACAGCACGAGCGAAACGACACTCAAAGAAACAGGTGCTTAATTGTCTCATCTTTGTGACAAAAACAACACTGTTTGCTGCCATGCCAATTACGTTTAACTAAGTTGTCTTTGGTTAACACTATGCCTCTACGTAGGTACCACAGAAATATCTTGATCTTCAATGGAGCTTTTAGTTTCCACAATCCTTTATTAATACTAGGGACATCATTATGGATCATTGCCGGGTAATGAGATTTAACTGAGAACTGTCCATTAGGATGCAAGTTCCAGCGAAATTCATCTTCTTGCTGGCTTAACACAATATTCGTGATGCGTGGAAGTAAATTGTTCCAAGCCACTAATTTGTGTCCAATTAGATGATCTCTTTGCCAGGATTGAGTAGGTGGAGACGTGCTTAGCACTTCTGCTACAGTAACCTGTTTATACCGGGCTATGTTATGAAGGCAAGGATATTGTTGACGCAGAGTTGACTGTCCTAGCCACCTATCTTCCCCGAATCTTACTTGTGATCCGTCCGGAATTATGAAGGTCCCAAAACGCAGAAAATCTCATTTAACCTCCATCAGGCTAGCCTAGAAATGCGAGTCCCCATTCTTCCATTGAACTTGAGAAAGAGGCCTAGATCCTAAATATTTTTTATGTAGCATTTGTTGCCAAATACCCTTAGTTGTGAGCAATTTGAAAAGCCACTTACTTAGAAGGGTTGTGTTCTTGATGTCTAAATTGTGAATTCCAAGCCCACCTTGGTTTTTGGGTTGGCATAATATGTCCCATTTGGCTAATCTGTATTTTCGTTTTTGTTCATCACTTGGCCAAAAAAATCTTGACCTAAAGTAGTCTAATTTCTTGAGAACTCCTTCTGGGATCGCAAAAAAGGACATAATATACATTGGTAAGCTGCTAAGCACTGAGTTAATCAGTGTCAAGCGCCCACTAGTTGACAGATGTTTCCTTTCCAGCTGTTGAGTCTTTTTTCAAAACGTTCTTCTACTCTTTTCCAATCTGCATTTGAGAGCCTCCTATAATGTATAGGTATGCCCAAATACCTCATTGGAAAAGCTCCTTGATTACAACGAAAAGGCTCCGTATATTGGGGCAAAGATTATTGTGCTGCTCCAAAGCAGAATATTTCACTCTTGCGGAAGTTTATTTTATGCCCTGAAAGTTGCTCGAATGCACAAAGTAATAACTTCATGTTGCGAGCCTTTTCGAGGTCATGATCCATAAAGAGTAACATATCGTTAGCATACTGTAGAACAGATAAACCTTTGTCAACTAGATGTGGCACTATTCCACTAATCTGATTATCTGCTTTGGCTCTTTTATTTAGTATAGCTAGCATATCAGCTACACCCTGTTCTTTCATAGTCGTAGGCGGTGGAGACGTTGGCACATAGGGTGAGAACACCCTGTTCTATCGGGATCTTCAACACTAGGTAGACATAATGGGGCATGGCCATGAACTTGGCGAGAGCTGGTCGGTCAAGGATGGCGTGGTAGGCGGTGTCAAAGTTTGCCACGAAGAAGTTCACGTACTCAGTATGGAAGTGGTCGGCGGTGCCAAACTGGACTGGCAAGGTGATGTACCCTAAAGGTTGGGACGATCTGCTTGGTACAATCCCCCAGAATGGAGAATCAACAGGGACGAGATCGTCCTTTGTGAGGCCTAACTCAGTTAGGGCTCCACGGAAGAGGAGATTGAGGGCACTCCCACCGTCGATGAGGACCTTCTTGAACCGCATGTCGCGGATGGTGGGATCCAGCACGAGTGGGAGATGCCCTGGGTATGGGATATCCGCCCACTGGTCGGCCCTACTGAAGGTGATAGGGTACTCTGACCAGTCCAGATATTTTGGATCGGCAACCATGTCGTACTTGGTGATCGACATGACCTATCGAGCGGTGAGTTTCTACTAGCGTTTGCTCTCAGAGCCGGCGTACCCTCCGAAGATTGTGGCGATGGTCTTGTTGGCATCTTGGAAAGCGGGTCGTGCATCCCTCAAATGCTCCTCCCCCTTGCCATCACCTGACACTCGCCCTTGCGCCATTGCCATTTCTGCTCCTCATCGCGGAAAGCTTTGGCCATGCCATAGCATTGCCGCATGGTGTGCTTGCTATCCTTGTGAATTGCACATGGACTGTCAAGGAGGTTTTTGTAGGCAACACTGAAATTGCGCTTAGAGTGTGGCTGCTCTACGTTGTTGATGAAGTTTTCCGGTTGGCGACGACATGGCTGTGCAACCCTTGATCCCTCTGGCCGATCGTTATGATGGCGTTCACGATCATCGTAGCGCCTACCACTATCTTCATAATGTTGTTCTTTGCGGCGATCATCATCATGATGTGGGTGGCGATCCAAGTGGGAAGCACAAGCAACATCGTCCTTGAACTGCTGATTAGCTTCTTCGGAGTCTGCGTATGAGTTTGCAACCTTGAGGAGTTCGCCGATGGTCTAGGGCCTCTTGCGGTAAAGTTTGGAGTGCAGCTCCTGATGGTGATGGAGTCCTCTGGTGAAAGCGGAGATGGCCTCACTGTCCCTGATGTTGGGGATGGTGTTCCTCATTTTTGAGAAACGCCTAACGTAGCTTCGCAAAGGTTCCCCAGACGTCTGATGGAGTTTCTCTAGATCCTACTTCGTGCCAGGCTACTGACATGTTGCCATATAATTCTTGATAAAAACTCTCTTAAGATCATCCCAAGATTCGATGGAGTCCTCCGCCAAGCCCATAAGTCAATTATTGGCAGATTGGGAGAGCATAACAGGCATATAGTTTGCCATTATGTCGCTGCTTCCCTAGGTGACATGTACGGCGATCTCATAGACCTGCATCCACTGCTCGGGATTGGCCTTGCCATCATAGGGATCGACCCCGAAGACCTTGAAGCCTACGGACCACTGTATAGCTCACAACCTTGCTGTGAAGGGGCAAGGTCTCGCTGGCTCGACAGCGGGGAGTGGTTGGAGGCCGACGGGGTTGCCGTGTTGGTTGTCGTACACCTATCAGCATTGGAGTTCTGCCTGATATCGCTAGGCATGACTATTCTAGATGCGATTGCGGGCATCGAGATTAGCGTAGATACGGTCGTGGGCGTCACCGTGTAGGGGTTGATTAAATTCCTGGTTGGCGTCATGAGCTGGTCGACCATGCTAATTTAATGGTCCTTGTGATCCAGGGTTGATGGCAACATTGCCCCTGGACCCCCCTTGGACGATCTAGCTGCTATGATAACGGCTTCCCCCCTCGTGACGAGAGCCACGGGGGTTTCGACTACGAGCCGATGCGGTCGAAAAAGACGGAACTGGGTTCCAGATGTTGTAGACCTGGACCTAAGCTGCTTTAAGGAGCGCTTGAATCTTGAGTACCTCCGGTATTGGTGGGAGTATAACCAGCTCGTGGGTGGCCACAGCCAGATTGGCGCTCAGCGTCTACTCCACTTGCTAGTTGTCCACCATGAGGAACTCTTGTTTGAGATTACGAGCGACAGGCGGCAGGCCACCTCTAGTGGCTTGGGTGGCATTTTCTACTTCTTCATTACAATGTCGTTGGTGATCAGTGTTCTTGGCTTCGTGCTCACGGCGTTGGACACTGGTTTCTCCATCGATAGCAACGCTGTCGTGGCTAACCATGAAAAGCTCTCTCCCAAAGCCTAGAGGGAAAGGTGGGCAGCTGCTGGTAGAGCCCTCGAAATATGGCTCGGGGCTTTCCTCCAGGATTGTATGGAGCGTTTCATTCGGAAGCTACCGAATTTGCACCATGTTTACCGTTGGCGCAGGCTGGTCGGCCTTAGGGAGGTTGATTTGGTAGAGGTCGTTAACGTAGCTGTGCTTGGTGTGGTCGGCAAAAATATGGTGCAGGGTGTCCCGACAGATCGGATCCGCAACCACCAGCCCAAAATAATAGGGCCCCGGCATGTTTTCTGTCGGGCTGGGGAGTGGTTGGTGTTGAATGATACGCCCATCCAGAGTTGCCGTGATCACCAGATCTTCATCTTGCCACCTCGGACGATGTGCATGAGCAGGGTGCTTGGCATTAGTGGCGTGGTGACCTTGTAGTGCAGGAGTCACATCTCCATTGGTAGATTGATTTAAAACCGATTCCGCGAGAGACAAGCACTTAGCTAAGCCATTAGTGACCCGATCGATAGATG